TAAAGTAGAAATCTTTCCCAATTTCCCCAAAGACAGATTTTAGAGCTCAAAATATTATGTATATATTGTCCTGTCTAGTTTAATTAATTCACCCATCTCTACCCAGATGCCTCACTTAAATAATCTTGCTGGATATTTAAATACAATTAGTCAAAACAAATAATTACAAGTGCTCACTGAGGCTGATGCATGTTCACCTCACAAAAAGGAAAAGGGATTCTCCTTATAATAACCTTTCACAGAAATAAGAGCACAGCACTCAGAAGGCAGAGGTGGGGGAACTGCTGTAGTTCAAGGCCAGCCTGGGCTACGTAGTGAGACTCTGGATCACACACCCCTCTGTATAGCATTTCTCAGTGCCTGGGACAGGGCTCAGGACCTCCTGCATGCTAGGCAAGTAATCCGAGCCACATCCCAGTGACTTACAGTACTTGTATATGAATGCCTCAGCTAAGTCGGACAGAGTGAGCAGCCAGCCATGGCTTCTTGTTACGGTCGTTTTTCCCCTGAGGGGAAAGTATGACATTGTCTGGGGCACTTTTGATTGACACTACTGGGTAGGGACTGCTAAATGCCCTCCATGGGTGGACTGTTCTCTTTCTCTCTCTCTCTCTCTCTCTCTCTCTCTCTCTCTCTCTCTCTCTTCTCTCTTCTCTCTTCTCTCCTCTCTCTCTTCTCTCTCCTCCTCTCTCCTCTCCTCTCTCTCCTCTCTCCTCTCTCCTCTCCTCTCTCTCCTCTCTCCTCTCTCCTCTCTTTCTTCTCTTCTCTCTCTCCTCTCTCTCCTCTCTCCCCTCTCTTCTCTCCTCTCTCCTCTCTCTCTCTCTCTCTCTCTCTCTCTCTCTTCTCTCTCTCCCTCTCCATGATCTCCTGTAGCCCCAGCTGGCCTGGAACTCACTCTGTAGACCGGGCTGGCCTTGATCTCACAGAGATCCGCCTGCCTCCCGAATGCCCAGATTAAAGGCATTCACTCTCTTCTATTCATTGTGAGACCCCGGCCCACGGGATGGTGCTGTCCATGTTCAGGGTGGGTCTTCCTTCCTCAGTTAAACCTCTCTGGAAACTCCCTTACAAACATGTCCAGAGGTGTGTCTCTAGGTGATTCTAAATCCAGTCCGTTGACATTGAAGATTAGCCATCACACATACTAGGGGTGCATTTGAGCTTTGAGATCATGTCAGCTGCTCCATGACCTTGTTTTCCGTTAAGATGGGTGGATGCTGCTGGGCCGACTTCCAGCCCTTAGGCAAAAAACTTGAATCTTTCCCCATATTTGAGAGGGGCAGAATTAACATTTGCCCCTGCAGGCCTGCTTCATGCCAAGCCCAGAGACGGCTGGCACCTGTGTCCCCCATCACCGGCCTCTGAGGAAGGGATGAGGGCAGTGAAAAACAGCGACTAGACTGACCCATGGAGCGAAGGCCTTCTTGGTGGTGGTTGGGGTGAGGTGCTGTATTGATCCAGTGATGATGTCAGCAGAGACCTCTTTGCTGCCCCTTCCGTGGGTCAATCTTGTTTGGAAACAACATTTCCCTGGGGTCAGTAGATAGAGGCTGGTTCTGGATTGCCATCCATCTCCTGCCACACTGTTGAGAGAAATAGAGAACAGGTTAGCTATTACCTGTTCAAGTATGTTTTCTAGACACTTCCAGAGGACCTCTCTTCCATGTTCTGACTGAACTGGGTCATGTCTCATCCCTGAGCATTGACGGCAGAGAAGGATTAATGTCTTTTTGTCAAACCGCGTCCCACCCCTGAGGCCAGGGTGAAGTCAGTTTGAGCAGAGCTGCCTCTGAAAATCTGTCATTTACCAGGGATATGGGACGGACTCCTAATGTCTTCGTCCTGTTTTACACAGGAAAGCAAAGCCCATGTAGGCCGCTGGTGGCAGGTGTGGGTTTCAACTCTCGCTTCTCCCTTCTCTCTGGCCCGTCAGTTCTCAGTCGAGGTGGTGACCCCTGGATGTGCTCTGACAGCCTCCAGCACTGGCCAGCTGGTTGAACAGTCTGCAGGAACTGGGGCCATTCCCCACGGCTGGATTTAAGGGGTCCAGAGCAGCTTTGGGGTTTCAGGCGAGGTATTTTTATTCTGCCCTAAAAGCCTTCCAAGGGAGAAGTACAATTCCTTGGGGCCTGACTTTAATGGTTTCTTTTATAGACTCATTCGGGTTATAATGGATGAACTCAGGGGAACCCTGCTCAAGAATGCAGGAAAACCAGACATTAAAAGGGGGTAAGGTAAATCATGGGGGGGTGGGGACAAATGTGTTCTCTTAAACATGAACTCTTAAAACCATGCTAACCCCAGTACAGAGCTGGGTGCAGGAGGCTGGGCTTCTTGACTTCTGACCTGCCTGGGGGATGCCAGGTGATGTGACTTCCTGATGGGCACTGTTCACGCCCTTCAGAACCATCACCTCTGCTGACCTTGGCTCATCACTGAACTTGGGGGTGTCGGAGCTACAGTGGTGAAGCATGCCCCCCATCAGGCTCATCTGGGATCAAATTCTATGTTGTGGCTTCTAAGCTGGGCATTCTTAGGCAGGTCACCCAGCCTCTCTGAGCTTCTTCTGAGGTGTGCAAATAGGTGTTGTTCCCATCCCACAGTCTGTCAGATGTGAGATCTAAACTATTTCCAAAGGTCTTGTAGCCACTTTGTCTCAGCCTTGGCAGAGCACAGAACCTGTGTGCATCAGTTACATTTCTCATCGCAATGATAAAATACCTGACAAAAACAGCCTAACAAGGAGGAGTTTAATAGTTGGGCGGGGTGGCATACACCTATAATCCCAGCACTTTGGGGTAGGGGGGGTAGAGGCAGGTGGATCTCTGTGAGATTGATGCCAGCCTGGTCCACACAGTGAGTTCCAGGCCAGCTGGGGCTATGGGGAGACCCTGTCTCAGAAAAAAAGAGGGTTTGTTTGCAGTCCAGCATGGTGGCAGGAGCCTGAGGCAGCTGGTCACATGACATCCAGAGTCAGGAAGCAGAGAGAGATGAACACTGGTGCTCAGCTCGCTTCTCCTTTTTATTCAGTCCAGGACTCCAGCCCATGGGATGGTGATGTCCATGTTCAGGGTGCGTCTTCCCATCTCAGTTAAGCAACCTAGAAACTCCCTCATGAACACGCCCAGAGGTGTGTTTCCATGGTGACTCTAGATCAAGTTGACAATCAGACTTAACCATCATGGCCTGGATACTGCTTCCCGGATTCTTCCTTGGGTTTCTGGGACCCCAGACTCTCTTGTCGTCCCTTTCTGTCCATGCTGTTCCAGATCTTTTCTGCACTGGGCACTCCTGCACAGTCTGCTGAATGCCCTGGCCTCTCTGTGGAAGAGAAAGGGTGCCAGGTTCAGTTGTCTTAATGCATATCTAGCATCCTAGCTCTCAACCCCTCAAGTTGTGTGTGGCCGGCCGGCCGGCCACTACTCTGAGCCAACATTCACAGAACCCAGCTCTGTGCCACAGGGGAGTATTAAACTGAGAACAGTGATGCAGGATGCCTGGCCTGATCCTGGATGTCCCCACTCTCCAGGCCAGAGCTTCCTTATGCCAAGCCCCAGCTGAGACCTCCTGATACTCACGAGACTAGATTGCTTGAGTGTCAAGTGGGGCTTCAGGGAGTGTCTACGAAGCTAATCTGTACTTTGCCTCCCGTCTCCAGTGCCCAGCCCCTTTCTGGGTTCCCCATCTTTGTAAATAAAGTGTTCAAAATTTACTTTCTGTTGTTTAGGCCAAGGGTGTACCCATCTCATGAGACTGCCTTCTCCCTCAGACCTTTTATGGTCCCTCAGAAAAGTCCTTCATTTTCTGCCAAGATACGTACTGCCACTGCTTGAGATATTCCCACTGCAGTAAACTGGGTGATAGGTAAATGGGACCACCCTAGACTGGTTTTCAATTCTGTTGCGTGTGTGGAGATGGGGGTGGAGCTGGGCCCTTGGCACCTTTTAGGCCATATAGCTGGGTCTGCCTTGTCTCTGGCTTCCAGCTTTGAGCCTGAAGTCCAGGTGTCAGGGACACTCCAAAGTCATCTTTAAAAACACTAATTCCTAGGCTGGTAGCTACACTTTCGAGTTTCTTTGGGTATCCGTGTGCGAAGGCACAGGTCCCCAACCAGGTGTCGTGGCCAGGCACCTTTCAGAGGCCCAGGAAGGCCCTGCCTGGCCCAGCACCCTTGGTGACTTGTGGCCTTCCTTTGGTGTGTCTGGTTGTTTATGTTCACATGGTCTTTTCACAAGGCCACCAGCCCAGGTAGTGAAGCCCTGTCCTGTGTGGCCTAGCTGTTGAAGGAATTACACCTGCAAAGATCTTGCTTCCAGATGAGGCCATGTCCGGAAGCTCTAGCAAACGGCTCACGCAAAACACTCTGGTTGCCACTGGCCACGAGGTGATCTGTGTCCCCTGTCTGTTGTCCCCTTGCCTCCTGCCTCCTGCCTCCCTCTCTCAATGGGCTCCTGAAGTCCAGCCTCTACTCCTCCCTCGGGCCTTTGTTTTTGCAGGGCCCTCCACCCAAGTGCCCTCTCCCAGATACTCTCAGGGCTCATCATCCCTCATTGCCACCAGGCCTCGGCTCAGGTGGCCCTCCGTTGTCATCGGGCTGTTGGCAACAGCCCTAGCCTCCTTGACGCATGACAGGTGTGCTCCCCACACTCAAAGTCAGTTGGATCACATGACCTCATGGCTGGTGCCATATGAGCAGCAGTTCCATGGTATACTTGCCTGCGACCCTCCGTGAGGCTCAGCCTGGTTCCCACTCCTTCTCTTTCCTGCTTAGTGTTTGACTCGCCACTGTATGCTCAAAGTGATGTGTGCTGCTTCGTCCCCCTTCCATAGAGGCCACCAGAGAACAAGGGTACCCCTAAACCAGCTCCTGTAATCTCTCAGATAGTCCTTGCCTGATGGGTGGACATCTGGTAAATGAATGGGTTGTAAGGCATGAATGAAACTCTGTCCACTCTGCCTGTCCTGTCACCATGCCTGTGTAATGAATGCCTCCTCTCTAGGGCAGAGCATCAACCCCAAGTTGGCGGGTCTGATTGGGAGGCATGGCCCCCAGAACAAGCAGCCCTTCATGGTGGCCTTCTTTAAGGCCACAGAGGTCCATCTCCGCAGCATCCGGTCCACGGGGGGCAAGCAGCGCAGCCAGAACCGCTCCAAGACGCCCAAGAACCAGGAGGCACTGAGGATGGCCAGTGTGGCAGGTACATTGCGTGGGTGGTCAGTGTGGAACCCGAGCAGCTGGAGGGGCTACTTGGATTCTGCAAGTGTTCTGCAGATGGCTCCAGAACAGATCAACTAGAGGTCAACCGCAATTCCCTTCAGACTTTGGGCTTCCGTCTTCATTCTGTAAAAGTAATGCTAAGTATGAAATGCAGACAACAGGATGGAGAGACGGCTTAAGGTTAAGAGCACCCGGCTGCTCTTCCAGAAGACCTGAATTTAGTTCCCAGCACCCATGTCAACTGACTCTAGCTCCAAGGACCTCTGAGAGCGCGCGCGCGCGCGCGCGCGCGCACACACACACACACACACACACACACCCAAAAAAAAAAAAAACCCAAAAAACAAAAACCCATGCCGGGGTGGCCTGTGGCATTGGGGTGACCTGTGGCATTGGGGTGGCCTGTGGCATTGGGGTGGCCTGTGGCATTGGGGTGACCTATGGCATTTGGGTGACCTATGGCATTGGGGTGGCCATGCCTTGAGAGGAAGGAGAAAAAGGGAAAGTGAGGGAAATTTTTACTGTTTTTCATTTTATTCCCTAAAATGGAAACTATTTGACACAACCAATTTAAATATGTTTTAAGGCTAGAAGGGATTTTTGTATGTATTATTCAGAATATTCTAGGTTGGTTTGAAATGTTTTATTGCTATAAGAAAAATATTTGAAAGCAATTCAAGGTTGACAGAACAAGCAAAGGGACACGTCGAGGGGTAGCAGTAAAGGGACACGTCGAGGGGTAGCAGTAAAGGGACACGTCGAGGGGTAGCAGTAAAGGGACACGTCGAGGGGTAGCAGTATTCAGGTCTTCACTGTGGGCGGGGACAAAACTTTCTAGTATGTGACATCAGAAAGTTCTTGAGGCTCTAAGATAGGTGGACTTCACTTTATTGAGAGCGAAGCTGGGGCTCGGAGAGGTTAAGTGGTTTGCCAGCCCTGGGATACTGGAGCCTGGTTGTCCCTCAGTGCACACATTTCCTGTGTTGTCTGTCATGAGTGGCTTCTGGTACCCTGCTCTTACTTCCTGTCAGTCCCCAGGCATTTGCTAAGCCCTGCATTGGGCTGGCCATGTCCTGACTTGGGGACATGGCTGGTGCAAGCCTGTACCCACTTTCTGGGAAGTCGTTCATTGGTGGCACCTTTGCAGCCTGGGTTGCTGGGATCCTGGGTGGTATATTTTGGTCTGGAGTTAGGGGATGAGACCAGGAGCAGCCTCCTGAGTGCTGTGGAGGTCTGTGTCTAGCCACATACACCTACCTGGCTCATGCTCCCTGTGCGTACAGCTCTCTGCTAGCAGGAAAGGTATCTCTATTTCCCCAGACTGAAAGTAAAGCTTTCTGGTCAGTTAACATCACCAGCATATTATTTTCTGATAGACTGTAGAGGTGACCAGCCAGATTTCAGGAGCCCCAGCTCTGGCTGAAGGAAACATTGGGTCCCACCACCTGTCCCGGTAGTCTGTTGTCGGGACTGCTCTTTCCTGGCCCTGTAGGAGGCTGCCCCTTGGTAAGCAGAGACATGTGTCTTAGACCCAGAGCCAGTGCCCAGGTTCTAGTCATGACAGAGGTCACAGTTGCTAGGAGGATCACAGTGGTTGTCAGCTGATCTCAGAATTCGGACTTGACCTTAAAAATGACCCTCAGTCACATGGGTCCTTAAAAGAAAGAACCTTTGTGGGGCCAGAGACACATAAGGACAGGCAGAGATGCTGTGTGCTGGCTTTGAAGGTGGTTGGGGCACGAGATGTGGACCCAGATGGCTCTAGCAGCCAGAAAAGGCAGGAAATGACCCTCCCTAGAGCCTGAAGAAGGGAGGTGTGCAGGACGCTTTGACTTCACGTGAGGGGAACGGTGCTTGGCTGCTGAACCCCAGGGCTGGGAGAGAATACAGTTCTAAAACATGAAGCCCCCAGGATGTGGTGAGCTGGAAGGGTGACAGAGAGAAGCCAGGGCACTGTTGCTGGTGATGTGGCTCTCGCCCACCAGTCAGCTGAGACACACCTGTCCAACAACCCACTCCCATACTGGGGCCTTCAGGGCTCTGGTGACCTTGAAGCAGCGCAGGGTCTGGACACAAACCAGCCTCAGCTAGTTTGTGAGGGCTCTAAGCTGACTGAACCCTCCAGCTCTTGGGCTGGGGGTTCCTAAGAAATACTCAAGGGAGCTTGAGCTGTTTGGAAATACTGTGTGACACACACACACACACACACACACACGCACTGCCAGCATGGTCTCTTCATGCTCCATGGTCAGACCTCATTGCCCATAGCCTTTTCCTTCTGTCTTGCACTCATTTCACAGGCTATGTCAATTTCCGTGGCTTTAATTCGCCAAGTACTCCTTACACTTGGTAAACGTGGCCACTTTCAATTATAGGTACTTTGATTTCCAGTCTTTACTAGTAAGTTACGTTAATCTTAACTATTAATGTTAACCCTTAGGACAAGTTATAGTTCATACGAATATACATGTATATACAATACATACACATACACACACACACACACACACACACACACACACACACACACACACATACACACACACACTACAGAGTGGTTAATATGACTCAGAAAGGGCTGAAGCGACTGGCTCGGAGAGTCTGCCCTGACACTGGCGATGTATTTACTGGTACAGACACGAGGAGAGTCTGTGTAAGGACCAGATAAGTCTTTGGAACAGAATGGTCAAAAGCAGATCTGGATGACAAGCAGTTTTGAGTGTCAGTTTGCAGAGGGCTGAGGGTCACAGGCAGGGGCTGGAGCTGGAGCCTAGAGACAGAGGTAGAGGTCCTTCCTGTGGTGATTTTCTGGAATGAGGCTTATAGCTAGTGACTAGGGAGGTCCTGGACCAGTGTGCTTACGTGTCTCTGTGTTGGGGTACACCTTCTCTCCTAGTCCATGTGAAAGGGGTCCAGGCAGCAGGAAGGTTGGGCTTATAAGCCTGGTGTTACCAATATGGACATATTCACAAATGACAATATTTAGAAGACACAAACGAATTACTTGTTAGTTATTTGCATAAGATGCGGAGTCATTCTGCCTTGGCACTCAGACCCAAGATGGAATAACTCACGTCAACACAGTTGCTTTATAAAACAGGGTAGCAGGGTGAGGTGTAGCCCAGCAGCTATGTTCCTAACATCGAGTTGCCCAGAGTTGCCCAAAGTTACCTGCAAGCTCCCCACCAGTAGCCCTATGGTACAAGTGTGGATGGGAACTTTGCAAGGATTCTTTTTCTGCCAGTTGGGGCCTTTTATAGACATCTCAAAGGGATCCATGATTTCCTCCAAATAAAAGCTGAGTTCCTTTGTATTTGGGGACCTCATCTATACCGGGCTGCTGGGCCTGGTGTTCAGTAGTAGAAGCCCAGGAACAGTCTGCCCTGAGGAGCTATTTGGGACAGGTGGAGGTGACTGTCACCCTCTTCTGTAGTACTGACAGGATTGGTGGGTGATGACTGGGTAATCCAGCTCATTCCAGAGGTGCAGAAAGACTTCCCATGGGAAGTGAGCGGAGAGCTGAGCCAGGCCAGGCTGATCCACTGCTGAGGCCTGGAAGTCTCATGGTTTAGCTTTTCTGGCATCTTTGAGAGTGTGGTGGCCAGGGCAGAAGGAGGGAGCTGGAGCCCTGGGTGGGTGGAACATTCTTTCTAGGGAGCCACATCTTGAGTTTGAAATCCATCCCAAGAGCATGTGGGAGTTTTACGGTTTCAGGCTGTGGTGTGCGGTGCAGGTGTGAGGTCCTGATGACCTCTCTGAGGAAGGTAGGTATAGGGCAGGGTGACAGAGGGCCCCACTCAAATCCAGCTGTCAAGTCCCATCCCAGCAAAGGCATCCTTGTCTTGTAGAGTTCTGGCGTTTGCCTTGGGAGTGAGGGGAGTTGATGAGGCCCAGAAGCTGAGCTGCCCACAGAGTCCCACAGGGCGCTCACTTAACATAGCTCCTCTCACAGCAGCTAGTCTGGCTAGTCTGGCTTGGAATCTGCCTGTTTCCTGTAGATGTCAAATCCTTACCCTTGTTTTAAGTTCTTCCAAGCTCTGCCTGGAGGTTTAACTTAAAAAAAAAAAAAAAAAAAAAAAAAAAAAAAAAAAAAAAGAAACAAAAACCGCAAGGGAGTCCAGAGCTCTCCTGGGTGTGGAAACAGTATGAAGAGTCTTGTGGGTGCTGATAGTATTGTAACTGATAACAGAGCTCTTGCATAGAGAATGGAGATAGCTTGTCCTGGGCTCCAGACAGGGCTTGGGCCCCACCCTAGTTGAGTGAGGCAGCCTGTGTGCGTGGGTGTGTACCCAGTGCCTTTGAAGTACTCACACCTCACGTGATGGGCCAGGAATCCTTCTAGAGGGCCACACAAGTTGAATCCTCTCTTGCATGCACAGCCTCCTTTGTGTGTCAGGCAGGAGATGCATGTCCCAGCATGCCACTGCATGAAGGTTTCTTTCCTGTGGGCCACCCCTGCCTCCGGGCTCCAACTGCTCCTGAGATGCAGGTGGAGCGCCCCAGCCCCTCGTCCCCTCTGGTCCAACGCCCTGGTAATTGGCCACCCTCCCCAGCTGACCCAGGGGGTAGGAGCAAGTCTGAGCACCTGTCCTAACTTGCTCAAGGCTGCCTGGGCAGAGCCTTGCCAAGGTAGCTGTGCAGTGGCTGGTGGCTGGCACTGCCTCTTGCTTGCTGGCCCTCTGCTGCACTGGGTGGGGTGGGTGTGGCAGGATTGGGGCAGGAGAGCTGGGTGTCTCCTTTATTCCCTTCCCTTGCTTTTCTAAGCAAGAAAGACCCGGGATGCTTAGGAATTCCAGCCACTTTCTTCTGGGATAGCCAGGACCCTACAGCATGCCTGTAACTGGCTTCAGGAGCTGCTCCTAGCCTCCTGGTGGGTCTTAGATTAAAACATTTAGCCAGAGATCACTAGGGGCTTTAAGACAGGGTTAGGAAGTGACTCGGGCCACTGCTCATCCCTTTCTGCTCGTGGCAGACATTGCTATCAGTCGCGGCTCTTTCTTCTCTCACCCCACTTCAGAGTCCTCCTTGACTCTAGACTTAGAGCTGTGGGCAATGTCTGGCTCCAGCTGTCCTGCTCAGAGCTGCATCTCACTCAGGCTACTATATATACCCCATGTCTCGGGGCTCTACCTCCCTCTTTCCTTCCTACCTGCACACAAGGGTGGACGGTGCTAGCTGTGGTTCCCAGCTTTGCCACAGCAGTAGCTGCCACTTTAGATATTCTGACTGTCCCAGAAAGTAGACCATACCATCCATCTCTGTGGGCTGTGCTCCGAAGGGGCCTTGGCCTTTTGAGTGCTAATGACAGCCTGGCATGTCTGTCTTTCACTGACCTCAGAACTGCGCAGGTGGAATTCCAGGGTATTGTGGGACTCAGACTCTAAGGGATGTGTCACTTGTTACCAGACACCCTGTGGCATGTCAGTGGGTTCAGAGGAAACCATCCTAAGGTAGGAATAGTTGAGGGTGTGTACAGATAAGAACTCATCAGAGCACTCAGGCGCCTGGGCTGAGAGGCTCTCCACAGTGCAGACCAGAAACCCAGGGCTGGAAGAGCTAGCCTGACCTCCAGGGTTGAGGCGACCCCTCTCCCAGGCCTGCCTCCCTGGTCAGACCACCCACAGGCTGGCAGGGCCCTGGCTTACCTCTAGTATCCTCTGGGCTACACCAGATTCCTGTACCCTGTACTGACTAGGCTGAGCCTTCAGTCAGAGAGCCAGCTGGGAACCAAGTCCAGTGGGCATTGACCCACAGGCCTGGGTAAGGCGAGCACCGGGCATGGCTGGCCCGGAAGCTCGGTGGTAGAATCAAAGCTCCGTCACTTACTGCCTCCCCTGTCTTCAGTGTACTTCTCAAAGCTGTGCCTGTGCGGAGCACCAGAGCCTTGCTATCTTTGGTGCCAGGCAACAGAGAGAAAGAGGATGAACACCCTCGATAGCTCTATCTTTAGAGGGAGGAAACCCCCATGTCTCAAGGTTTGAGTTGAGCTACCTGCCCTTCCCTGAACCGGTTTCTGCCTCAGGGTGGGGTATGTGCTCCGCCTCTGTGAACAACCAGTGGAAAGATGTCGTTGCCTCAAGGGCCTGTCCCAGAATCTGCACTGACCTAGAGTCCTTGTGAGAGAGACCATGGGAACTCGGTCATGGTCTGGAGACCAAGCTGGGGTCAGGTCTTCCCGAGGTACCTGTGAGGTGACCCTGGTCACCTTCCTCTTTGTCTATGACTTTGCTGGGACCCTCAAGTCTGGAGGATCTAACGGAGAAGACAACAGCTCTACTTGTGTGTGTGTCTGTGTGCACTCGTTCCACAAGCGTTGGGGGCCATTAGGCTCTGGGATGTAGTGGTAACGCAAGGCCTCTTTGAGCAGGTGACATTAGAGCCCAGGCTAGACCATCAGTCAGGTAGGAAGCACATACACAAAGATCACAGGTAGGACAGTCTGTGTATGGGGGACCAGCAAGTGCAGAGACCCTGGGGTGGGAATGGGCGTGGCAGGCTGCACATTGGCAGCACGTAAAGAAGCTGGTGGGATTGAGGATTCAGGGGTTGGAGCCACACAGGGTCTTATGGGCAGGGGCAGGTGATGGAAAGCCTGGGAAGTTTTAGGTTGAGGGAAGGCATGGTTTAAGTAAAAACCAATTCTTGTAGCTGCAGGATAAAGGGAAAACTCTACAGCATGTGTGTGAGGGACAGACAAACAGAGAGACAGAGCCTGACAGTGTTTACAAATGCAGTTTTTACAAACTTAACACCCACTGGAAAACCTAGCGCACTGTTTTTGCCCCTTGAAGAACTGTCAGCAGCATGTTTCTGGAGAGCCGTGGGCTTTCCTTGCTGTCCCATTTTTTTTTCTCTTCCCCCCTTGGTGGTAGTGGTGGGGTGAGTGACTGTCCCCAGCCCTGGCTCTGTAGTTCCTGCCCCTGCAGGTAGGTGAGTACCTTAGAGTGGGCTGGCCTCCCAGGCAGGATGGTCTAGAAACAGGCCGTCTGAGCATAGCAGGGTGGTCTCTGCTGGGGGCAGAGGAGGTGATTTTGAAGGCTAAGGTTGCCCTCCAATCTGAAAGTCCATGACTGCTCCCCTACTGCAGAGCCAAAAGGCCTTGAACATGTGTATTTCTCTCTCCTCCCTGGGTTCTGTTCCTTCGCCTCCTTGTCAACACAGAGAACAGCAGCAGTGACCAGAGGCAGGCCTGTAAGAAGCACGAGTTGTATGTAAGCTTCCGAGACCTGGGCTGGCAGGTAAGGATGGCTGGACCACCACCCTATGGCTACAGTGAACCACAGTTTTTGTCTTTCCCAGTGAGATGCCAGGTGCCTCGATCGGAAAGGGGGGCTTGGGCTGAGCATATTTGGATATTCCATGATACCCCTGTAAAACCCAAGAACAGAGATGCAATGACACTAGGGCCAGCACCTGGGGCCCCAATCCTCTGGGGTCTGAACCTCGTTCTTCATGCATACTTCATTCCCACCCACATATGGCCAAGCCATCTGTTTAAATTCAGCCCCAGAGAGCCAGCTTCCTCTGCCCTGGCCCTGATCTAACCCTTCCATGACTTAGTTTCCCAGGGAAGGAACCTACCACTCTGTTCAGGTCAGGAGCTTATTCCTGAATTAGCAATGTGTCAGGGGACGGAGGGAGGGCTCTGTACCTACAAGTGTCTCCTGAGTCCTGTGACCACTCACACAGCAGCCATTCAGGAGCCTCCGCGACCTCTGGGCCCCTGAATGGATGCTAGAGGTGCAATCAGTGAACTTGGCTGTATGCCTGCCCCATGTAGCTCAGATGTCCCCACACAGGGCAGTGCTATAAGATCATCGGGGCACTGTGTGTCCTTCTGCCTTTGTGGAGCTCATAGTTCACTGGGACAGTCAAAACTCTTCTGCAAGGATCAGGTCCAGATGTGCCCAGGGCACAGGGCACACAGCCAGCCCAGTCCCTCTGTGTGTCTGTCCAACGGATTTGTGGCAATACCCACAACACATGGGGCATCATGCAGCACTTGCTGGAAGTTTCTGTGCACCTAAGGGTTGGTGAGGCATACAGGAGTTGGCTGGCCAGCATTTCGGTGCACAGTCCCTAGAGGCCAGCATGGTGAGTGCCCCTGGGCCCTGGGCTGGAAGCACTCGAAGTCTGGCATCATTACCTGAGCCCTACAGGTTACTAGCACCGTGCACCAGTCAGGGGAGTTTGATTTAGATTCACAGGCACATCCGATCTTGACATTGGGACAAAATGTCTCCTACAAAGTACACTCATGAGAACCATGCATTCAGGTTCCACGAAGGAGCCTAAACAAACGAAAAGGCGAAGAAACAAATAAAATCTTACAGTGTTTTAAGTAAGTCTGTGATTTTGTGTTGGGTTACATGTATAGATGTCATTACCCAAATGCAGTATCTGGGTGCTGAGTTGGACATGTCAGGGAGCATGCTGTGGTGTCCCACTACCTAGCAGGGACAGAGGGAGGCCCTTGAGGTGCCACCTGTTCAGGAGATGCAGAACAGAGGTGTTCCCTTCGGGTCTTGGGCCGTTTTTTGTCTCCTTGCTTGCCCGTTCTGGCTGGGGTCATGAAAGGCTATGTTCATGTCTTTTGCCCCTGCTGGACCCCCCACAGCTCAGGAGAGCATAGCCTGAGCTTGTGTCCCCTGGACGTGAAGAGGGGTCTACACAGGCTTTTTGCGTTGTCTGGTGGTGGCCTGGCCACACCCACTCCTAATCTCTCCTACAGGACTGGATCATTGCACCTGAAGGTTATGCCGCCTACTACTGCGAGGGTGAGTGTGCCTTCCCTCTGAACTCCTACATGAATGCTACCAACCACGCCATCGTCCAGACACTGGTGAGTGCTGAGGGGGGTGTGGCCAGTGGGGGTGCAGGACCTGATGGGTGCTGCGGAGGATGTGGCTAGTGGAGGGTGTGGGACCTGATGCCTGAGCAGCCCAAGGCCACACTGTGACTGTTGTGTGTTCCTGCTTCATAAGATATTCAACATTATGTTTTAGGCATAGTTGGTATAAAGGTGAATATAGTCTTGGACCCTAAAAGTCTTCTATTTCTTTATCTGTTCTCACTTTAAAAGTTTCGCAGGCTCCTGCAGCATTGTGGGCATGGGTCACTGTGCTTCACTGAGGAGTGGACCCTTGCCTGGTGGGGACCGTTCTCTTGGGTGTCAGCATGCCCCCCTGTGTTAAGGTCGACCTGTCTGCTGGCTCCCGGCCCTGGTCCAGCCTCTGGCTCTCTTCTAGGATGGGCGGGCTTCTGTTTGTCAGTACACAGGTGCCTTTCAGAGCTTGTAGTTTTCTCCCCCAACCTTCAAGCTTCAGTCATTCAAGAATCTTCATTCTGTTGACTGATGTGTGCCAGGAGCTGGGGATACCACAGGGAGCAGCCCAATGTCCGTGACTCAGGACTTCCGCGTCCAGGGGAGGAAATGGTCAGCTGAGCAGATGAGGGAATTTCAGAGGGAGAGAATACAGAATGAAGGGGTGGAGGGACAGGCAGGAGCCAGGGGCTCATTCACGTTAGCCCCTGTGGACTCACTGGCAGAGCCATGGTGGGAATGGAGGCTTCTGGGCAGATGCTGTGATTGCTGCTCCACCAACCAGGGTAGGAGGAATGAGGAACTTCATTCTTTATTCTAGAATCCTGGATTCAAGATGATCTTACTTTCTCTCTACCATGAATGTTATCTGGGCCTCTCCTGACAACTGACCAGCTGTGCTGACTTGAATGCTTTTAGGGCCAGAGAGCCCACCACCTGGGCCTCCCCCAGTGTGGTTCTGTTTGCTATCGAGATTTATGATTTCCCATCTACTGACCCTATGGCCCCCACACACGAAAGTCCTGGAGAGAAGGCTTGTCTGTGCCCGTCACTCAGTCTAAGGCTTACTTTAGAGGAAGGGTACTCTTCCCTTCCTGTCACTCCCTCCTCCCTTTCCTCCCCCTCCCTCCTTCCCTTCTTCCCTTACCTCCTTCCTGCCGTTCCTTCCTTCCTTCTGTGGTTCTAGGGATGAAACTCAGAGCCTCATACACATTAGCCAAGTGCTCTACCACTGAGCTGTATCCTGGACTCCTTTTCACTTTCTGTTTTGAGTCGTTATCCAGACTAGCGGTGAACACATTGTAGCTCAGGCAGTCCTTGAACTTGTGCTCCTTCTGCTTCAGCCTTTGAGTAGCTGGTGTGACAGACCTGCACCCCCAGGGCCAGCAAGGGATTTTTTCAAGTGCTGGTTTTCCAATGCCTGCCCTTCCTCATATCTGAAACCTCCAAAGCTGCATTTGAGGTTGTGTCTGCAGCTAGTGACAGCTAAGTTCCCCCAGACCTGGGTGCTCACTGGTGTAGCCCACAGGGCTCCTCTCCATCCTCTTCCACCCTTACATTCATGACCGGGACAAGGTCTCAGCTACCCAGTGAGCATTTTAGTCAGTATCTTACCAAGGCCTTGGGGTCTACAGAAGTCTCCAGAACTGGAGGAAGGAGGTCTCTGTGATCAGTGAACAAGGTGTGACTGGGAAGTCCTGGTGAAACACTCAGAGAGGAGAGAAGATGATGTCTGGGGTTGACATTGAAATTACTCAAGGAGGTACAAATGGCACTAGGGGAGAGATATATAAATCACTTAACTCCTTCCATCAAAAGAGACGAAGAAGCAACATTAGAGGCTGGGGCTGCGGCTCATTTTGGTAGAGAGCTTGCCTGGCATGCATAAAGCCCTGGGCTCGATCCCTAACACTACATAACGGGGCGTAGTGGTGCCCGTCTGCAATTCCAGCACTCAGGAGGCAAGATCTGATGTTCAAGGTCATCCTTGGCTACGCAGCAAGTTCAGCCAGCCTTGGATATTTCAGACAAAACAATCATAGGAAAAGGGTTGGATCTCTGGTCTGTCCTAAGCATCTGTCTCAGCTGATGACACTGGCTGGCAGCTGGGCTGTAGTCAGCTTGGATGAACAACAACCTCTCCCTTCAGCTTGCTTCAGTCCCCACTACTCCCTACTGTCTGCTCTGGTCCCATGTTGCTTGTCGATGGCACTCACATGGTGCCTGCAAGCATTTGAGTTTTCTCAACCCCTACAGGGTACACAGGTGCCCATGAGCAAGACAGAGCACTTGTACTATTGTGATGCTGGGAATTGAACCCAGGACCTTGTGCATGCCAGGCGAGCACTCTACCACTGAGCTCTATCCCCAGCGCTTAAGACAGAGTACTTTGAGTGGACGGCAGTCGGCAAGGCTGTTGGACTTCCTTCAGTGCTTCGTGTACACTGCTGTGTGCTGTGAAGGTTGGATACATTGGCCCTCTCATCTGACAGACGGGGACACGTGAGAAGTGAGCTGGGTCGTGTCACGTGCTCCGAAAGGGGATGCTCAGTAATTGTCACTAGAGAGATCTAGAGGCCAGACGTAACGACCTGGCTCCCTCTCACCATGGTCCATGTTGGCTGTTTGCAGGTTCATTTCATCAACCCGGACACAGTGCCCAAGCCCTGCTGTGCACCGACCCAGCTCAACGCCATCTCTGTCCTCTACTTCGACGACAGTTCCAATGTCATCCTGAAGAAGTACAGGAACATGGTAGTCAGGGCCTGTGGTTGCCACTAGCCCCTCCTGGGAGCCCGACTGTTTGGGACCACATTTTTCCAGATCCGTGGTATCTCACCATCCAGTCTCTCGCTGCCTGTCATGGTGAGGAGGCAGCAGACCAGCCACCTCGCCTGAGCCTCCCCTTACCCTCCCCGACTGGAAAGATGCCAGACTTTAGAGACCTGAGCACCCAGTGGCTGGCTGGCAGGTTTTCATCTCTTGCCAAGATCCGACAAGCTGCCACAGGCAATGTGTAGCCAGGAAAGATATCCCCCAAGAAATAGTCCTGGCCACGGCTACTGGCCACATGGTCCCTGTGATGCCTTGAGTCTTTGCAAAGGTAATTCCAAGCATCCTTCAGCCAGGCCCACTGGCTGTACCAGGAGGAAGGGCATAGCCAGGGAGGGCACTGTGTGTCTGTGCTAAAGGTAAACGGAGTGGAGGTCCCTGTAATAAATGTCACAATAAAACCCATGAATGAAAATGGTTAGGATGTTACAGATATATTTTCCTAAACAATTTATCCCTGTTTCTTGGTTTATACTGATTTCATAAACAGAAGCTGGGGCCTACGGAGGCCAGGGAGGCCCCCTCCTTTCCATTTGGTTTCCTTCTGAGGCCGCAAGGCCCTGTGTTTACCCAGACCTGCCCAAATCCACCATGTAGGGAGGGGACGAAGGAATGTCTGCTGGGAAGAGGAGAGCCAGTGTTGGCCTCAAAGGAGGTGTGCGGGGGTGGAGATGGAAAGAGACACATGTGTGAAACACACGCAGACGTTGGGATGGCGCTGCTAGCTCTCCCCACTCCCCTGCCATGGTAGGAGATCAAGAAATTTCAAAGTGAACAAGCACAATGAACCAGATGGAGCTTGCCACCCAACGCCAACGTGAGGAAGCAGGAGGAGTCCTGGCTCCATAGGTGCGGGTGTGTGGGACACTGACCTCTAAGCAGGGCCCCTCGGGTGCCTCTGGCAGTGCTCCTGAGCCAGGTCCTCACCCTCATGGCCTCCGTTCCTCTCTCTCCAGCCCCTGTCAGAATGCTTTGCAAAGAGATTGGCTCCTAGAAGTGAGGGAGACAGCATAAAGGGGGCCTTGTGGGTACAGGGTGTACAGGACTCAGATCACAAACAGAAGATTCTAGAGGGTAACCTCCTGACCACACTTCCTGACTTGAAGGTGACCCTTAATGAATGCCTACTTTGCCTGGATCTGTGGTCCCATAACTATGCTGCGCCAGCTCCCAGCTACAAATACAAGCTGTGGGGAGGACTGGGCTGTCTGCCAATGTTTCCCACATCCACACAGAGAATGAGGTTAGCCAGACAAGCCCTGTGGTCCTACAGCGTCTGGTCAAGTGGGGGACCAGTTGTCCATGTTTGTCCGGTCCGTTCCTGGAAACAGTGGGGCTCTGCTTTTGTTTGAACTTTTCTTCCTTGGTAGCTTGGGCTGCACCCTTCACTGTGCCCGGTCCTCGGGGGAAGAACGTTCTGGTTGTAATCTGTTTTGTGTGCTGGTAGATCCGGGGCTTTCTGTGTGACCCCCCCCCCCACCCCTTGCTGCACAGTCTCTTCCTCCTTACCATTGCAGTCAGCCTCTTGATAGCATCTTTTGTACATGTAAACGTGTAAATAGTTGTGACAAGACAAAGAAATTATTTATTTCCATCTGAACTTCTTTTCAAACACTCCTTCCTTTCCTGTTGAGGACAAGCTCGCTTCCCCTCAACCTGTTTGTTTTCTTATTTAAGACTATTTATTAACAGTTGGACTGATGTGGCCACGGCTGTCGGATAAAGTGCTCCTTAGTGAAAAGTCTGTATAAATAGACGAGTGAAAAGGGTTTTGACTTTGCAATAAAAGGAGACATTTGGTTCTGGTCGTTGGACCCACGTGTGCATATGTGTCGTTCTTTTTTCGCTCCATTCCTGGACGTTGGAGTTTCTCCGTCCTCCGAGAACCCTCAGCCTTGGCTTCCACCATGAATACTGTTTATCATCCAGGCCCCGGGGCGAAGCGGGCCCTTGTCAATATTTGGTGCAGCTGTGTGGGGCTCCAGTCAGGAGAGATGGAACCAAACAACAAATGTGAGTTTGGTAGGCTCCATGGCAGAGATCCTTGATTGAATTACAGCCCAGCCGTCAGCAGCTGCTTCAAAGAGGCAGGGGGTAAATTAGCTGTGTTTACTGCTAACATAGTTGAAGGATTTAGTCATCCCAATAAAATAGAGGCAGAAGGGAGAAAAGGGGGGGGGGGTGCACCCAAAACTTGAAAGCAGTGCTGGCCCCACAGCCAGCGTCCTTCAGTGCCCGTCACCCCCGGGTAGTTGGGGGACTGTCCTTGCAGAGCCGCTGTGGAGGTGGATGGCCCGCAGCGGGCCTAGGGAAGGCATGGGCCCCATTAAGCTTGGAGCTTAATGTACTAAGTATGTACTAAGGTCACCTGATGGATATTTCTAGAATTCCAGCCGATACTTGGACAGGCTGCTTTCTTTTTCTGTTGACTCAGACCCAGTGGCCACTCCTAACACGTTCCAGCTCCCGCGATTTCCCAAACCCTCCTGTCATTGTCCTGATACACATTTTAGGTTTTGTTCTGGCTCTGAAGACCAGAGCCACAAACTGGAGGTTAGATGTGGCCTCCCAGATGTGCTAAACCCTCCTCCTGCCCCACCACCAGTGGTGTTTACACATTTTTAAAAACATGAATTCATTGCCAATATGTTTTTGCAAATCAGAAGTTCAAGTTTCTCTGGACAGTCAGCAGAGTGGGCCACCTGGACCCTCCCTGCATGCTGTTCTTGGCTGAACTGGGATGGCCAGTACTATAGCCCCTACCACATCCTACTGTCTTCCTTCACAAGGGGGTGAGGGCCAGTTGACATTTTTTAAATGGCAGGTGAACATTTATTTATGTCCAAGTAATATGAAATATAAAATGAAAGCTACACTGGGAGATGATGGGTGAGCATCTTGTGGTTTAAGCTGGCCTGCTCCCGTGGCCCTCATAGGCCCTTGTAGGCACGTGTCTGTGCCCATGTGTGGTGACCCAGATGGACTCCTGTCACCTTCCCCATCTTCTGCCCATTTGCCCAGCTTTACTTTTCAACTCTGCCCAGTCCCACTCAATACTGGACACTGACAGATCCCTCTGCTAAAAATTGGTGGAAATGGATGTTGAACTCCATACCTTGGGCTTAACCCTGGGCTCCCCTGAGCGGTCATTTCCTGGGGCTGCTTGGGAAATGGGGATCCCTGGCCCACAGCTTGACCCTCGAAACGTCCTTCCCCAACTCTGTATACCAGTCTCTACTCTGTTTCTTCAGTATCGTCTTCCTGGGCTTCTAGACTGCTGAGCACCTCCTCTGTGACCGTGACCTTGAATGTCCTGCTTCCCCAGGGCTGCTGACCAGGCAAGCAGATTGCCCATTGTGGTCCCTCCCCTGTGCTCTCCAGGCCTGGTGACCACAGTGTGGGGGTAGGGTATGTTGTCGGTGTCCGTGGGGGTCCCCTCTGCATGGGCTTCTCACATGGCCAAGCTTTGGTAGAAAGTGTCAGTGTCTCCTGGGGCCACCACAGCCCATTTCTGCAAGCTGCTGGCCTAGACCAGCAGAAACTGATTCCCCAAGTTGCAAGGCTAGAGGTCTAAAATCCAAGTGTCTGTGGGCAGTACTTTTCCTTGATTAGCCCAAAGGCAGTTGATTAAGGACCTCAATTCCCACCTACAAAAGACCTTCCCTATAGGAAAAAAGAAATGGCTGCCATATTCAGGAGAGGGCCAATTAGAAGAGGCCAAGCTCTTGCAAGCTTCTTAAAATGCTACTCAACTGCACACCGCAGGAACCAACCCAGAGACCATGCAGACACTGAGGTGTCAATCAACAGCAGTCACAATGCACAACAGAGACATGGCTCAATCTGTGGTTCCCACCAAGACCCCTACACGCACACCTCACTTGAGTTGTTAGTTGTTGGGTGCCTCGAGTGGGTTATCTGTCACTCAAAATTCTTTAGAAGGTTGCTCATTGCCGAGCTCCTTGGTGCGCCTGGGAAAGATGCTGGTGGCTCATCTGAATCTTTGCAAAGCATAGAATGCACTCCTGACAGCTCATCTGGTACCTGCTCAGGGCACACAGAACACTTGGCACTTGAACTCAGCCAAGCTCAGGACAAGCTGCATACGCTGCCCTTCTCTCCTGTGTTGGATGCAGGCCCCAGTGGTAGAAATGACACAGGTAACTGTTGTAAAGTTAGTGGATTTTCCCTGGACACCTCCAGAAGGTGCTATTTACAACATTCACGAAAAGATGCCTCCAGAGGATGCTGTTCACAGCATTTATGAAAACGATGCCTTCAGTGTGTGCACGCCCTAGCCAACCCGAGGACCGACCCTCTCTTCTAGACCCCAATCTTGTCAGGTCCTAACCCACACTCCGGGTGGTGAGTTTGTCCCTGCCAAGGACACACATAATGACCTCTTTAGACATTTCCCCTTGGCCTGTGGGCCTCATTCTCCTGGCTCAGACCCTTCAGCACCCTGGCGCTGGCCTCTCTTGGTTGCAGATTTGAGGAAATAAAAATAGAAGAGGAAAACATGGAGCTCTCCAAGACTGTTTCGACAGCTGCTTGGACGGAGGCGGAATGCACCTGGCCAGGAGGGCAGTGCTACCCCACCCCACTGAGTCTGGCGCTCACCCATCCCCTGCAGTTCGGTGTATCAGGCAAGAAAGGACCAGGGCAAGTCCCTGACTGATGGAAGCCCACACTGGCCCCACTGTGAGCACCTCAGGGGAGGCCAACTTGTACCCACAAATCACCCACCCAGCTCTGTTGGCTCATCTCAAATCAGATCTGACCCACCATCCTTTCAGGGCATAAGCTCCGCCCTCCGGAGGGCCCTGAGTGTGGTTTTGTGTTTTCCTGTGACCATCTTGAATTGATTAGTGCCGTTGGACAAGAGCTCCACATTTTAATTTGGCTCCCGACAGCCCCGCAGATTCTGGAGTAGGTTCTGTGCCTGAGGAATGGAACAGACCTCCAACACACGCTACTCATGACGGACATACCGGTAGTCTGTGAGCCCCTGATGTCCTGGGCACGACATGCTGTGAGCAGCAGGTGACGTCAGGTGGCAGAGAGCAATGGAACCAGCGGGGTCCAGCAGGAGTGAAGCCAGGAGCTCCAGAAGGAAGAACGTTGTGCTCAAGCTAGGGTGCATGGAGGTGGACGGTGGGAAGTGAGGCTGTGTACAAAGGGGCAGGGAACCATGTGAAAAGTGGGGCCAGGCAGAGCATACTGGACCCTGTGCTGCGCTCAGCCCCTTAACTCAGGATAACTGTCTCCTTGTTCCAGAGCCTCAGCTCCCTCCCACCTGCAAAGTCTCTGGGAAAAAAAAATTTACAGATTTGGTTCCTGTTCCAGCACAGATGTTCTGAAACTTTGGAAGTTCCTGGTAATGGCAACCAGAGTGTGTGTTTGCCATTCATTACGAGCCCTGACTGCCATACCACAGTGTACGCCGTTCTCGATGGTCCTTGAACCAACCCTGGGACAAGAGGGCTGGACTTTGAGCACAGGAGAGAGGGGGGCTGCTGCCTGAGGAAGTCACTGATGGCCACCCAGAAACCTCTGGGCCCATAGCACAGCTGACTGGATGTGGATTTTTAAATTACTTATTATTTTTATTTTATGAGTATGAGTGTATTGCCTGCGTGTATGACTTGTTCTGCAACTCTGGAGGTACTGGGTAGCATGTCATATGAAGCCTGCGGAGGTCAGAAGAGGGCATCAGATCCCCCGGAACTGGAGTTACAGACAGTTGTTAACCACCATGTGGGTGCTCTTAACTGCTGAGCCTTCTGTCTAGCCCCCTGGACATGTTTTGATAAGTCCATGTCTTTATTATCAATGGGCTGGGAGTCAGGAGATATGTATGGCTTTGCCCCAACTGGCCATGTTGATGTTAGAAGGAGCCTTGACACTGTCTACCAGGTCTCTCCCTTCAGATCAAGGTTAAAACTAGCGTGAGACTTGTTCTGCAACTCTGGAGGTACTGGGTAGCATTTGGGGTCATCCATGAAGTTTCCCAGGTGTGCCCAGTATGGGCTCCCAAGGAGCCATGACCTGTCCACTGACCTTCACCCCACACAGTAGTGTTTTCCTTATAGGAAAGGAAGTGGCCGGGAACTAACCATGACGAATCTGACCTTAGCCGCCTCCTTGCCACGTCATTGTTTAATACCTCAAGCAAGCCGCGGATAACAGACTAAATAACCTCCAAGGACAGTTTATGTGTGTGAAGGAGGCTGCAGGGTGATGGTGGAGATGGGGGTGGAGTCTGACCGCCATGATGTCTGCACCTTCGTGCCTGACCTGCGAAGGTGAAGATCCAGTCTAACTAATTATAGCCACTCTGAATAAAAGTTGTTTCACTTGCTGAAGGCAGCAGAGAAGTTACACATTTGCGCTAGGACAGTGCCTAACAGACTCCAGACCTGACCCGGGTCTGTTTCAGAAGGCTTTAACACAAGTCACCTTTACATGTCCCCTCAACCCAGAGTTGCATGGTAGTGACTTTGCTCCTCCACCCTGCAAGGTCACCCTGACTGTGGCTTGGGGGTTGGTTGCCCAGGGGTGCTGTAAGAGACAAGGGGCTTTGAACACATTCCTTTCCCAGCTGCCTTTGGGGAGGATGGATTCCAGCTCAGGGATCCTCTCCAGCCCACCACATGAGTGCTGGTCTTTGTTTGACCCATTTAGAGTGTTGATGATGGAAAGGATGACAGATGACCTGGCCCTCCATCCTAACCTGTTCTCTGAGTGGTCCCTAAAATAATACCATTAGTGGGGCCAACCAAAGCTGCTTATCTGTTGTGGTCGTGCTGATAAG